CAACGTCGCGAGAATATGACACTGTAACTAACGGCACTTCCTTGAATCTGTATCTTAGTTTGTTAGGGATCTTGGTTCGAATGTCTCCGCGCACTGTGTAAATCGAATAGAAAGTTGGCCCTTTGATTCTGGCGGTCAATTTCATTGATTGGTCGGTTCGACCGTTTGGAAAAGGACTGTTGTGGAGTGACAAATCTAGTAAATATCTTAAGATTCATTCATTCGCAATACACTTGATGAAAATAAGTCGGATAAACAGCTAATGATGATGATGATATAAACAGTAACATTTTCATAGATGATCGAATGGCCGAGGTGGAAAAAGCGTTGATTTTCTGTTTCAACATGTTTGATTCTGGATCAGTTGATCAGAAAATTGCGCGGTGGTGTTACGGTCGATGCATTCAAGCAGCAAAATTAAGATGACATTNATCGAATGTCGGAGGAAACAATTTTTCGTTCAATTGAGGAACTGTAATGTGTAGAATACTATTTTCTTAATCATTTTGAAATTATAAACAGAATCGTTATAATGAATAATACAGAAATTTTACTAACCTTGTATTTTTGAAACGTTTTTGTAATCTTTTTCAACTTACGTTGAATTTCATCTATGCTTTTAAGTACTGTGCATTTACTAACACTATTCATTTTTTTGCAAATTAGGCCTAATTTTCAACAATTATCCTTAGAGGTAACAGTTGGATCTAACCTTTCTTTTATTATTATTTTTTCGACTTCTTTCAACGCCTGTATTGGTAAAAGTAAAATGATGCCTTATTTTTCTCTCCCATTTTAACACAGAAACTCATGCAGGAAACAATTCGCTCTATTTGAAAGTTCCCGGGCTATATTCCTATTGGACGAAACACTATACTGTCGGAATCGCTGACATTTTGTTGTAAATAGTAAATTCAGTTACGATGAGCTTCGTGAATTGCAGATACGATTTGAGGTATTTAACTACGTCGCGAGAATATGACACTGTAACTAACGGCACTTTCTTGAATCTGGATCTTAGTTTGATAGCGATCGTGGTTCGAATCTCTCCGCGCACTGTGTAAATCGAATAGAAACTTGGCCTTTTCATTCTGGCGGTCGATTTCATTGATTGGTGGATTCGACCGTATGGAAAAGTACTGTACAAATCTACAAGTCATTCTCGGAAGAGTCAATCTTCTGTATCCTATAATTGCTATAGTTCCTATTGGATGGTGTCGAGAGACAGATAAGTTGGCCATGACGTTACTTATGTTGACGATCTCGTTTTTTAACGAAAGGTCGAACGAAGCCACGTTTTCTATACACGATCTGTAGTAAAATATGGTAATTATTATCGCCGGAGCATTTTGCCTGATAATTGCACGTAAAGTATTAAAATTTGTATGATTTCACTTGAAACTGTACAAACAATTTTCATAAAGTTAGTAATATAATTGCTAGTCTTAGCCACATTTCTAATATAATTCCATAGTCGTTTGAACTCGCAAAACATATTTAAAGTATTTGTTCTTACACATTAAAAGTATTACAATGGAAGACGGTAGACAATACGATTTCGTAGATTTCACTTAGTTTGAATGCAAGAGATATTTCGTCGAAATCAAAATATAAATGTACAATTAATAATCAGTTAAACTATTGTAATATATATAATATATATATATATATATAATGTGTTAGATTTAATAATTTTGAAAATGGATTCAAATTTTTATTGTACGTTATCGCGAATAAAAGTACAAACATCAAATGAAATGAAATGCGGTGTATTGGTTGTAAACGAGTCTGAAAAATAAAGTCTGTCAGATATATTATTTATTATTCTAGACTTTCCTCTATGTCATTCTTTAGTATAATACTTAATTGCAATTCAAGTCTTTAAAGTCAAGAGTTCGCCAGTGGACAAGAGGTTTCGTTCCCTGAACACCTGGAGTTCGGTCGTGGGTTCGCTCCTCCAGGATGGTCTGGCCACGTGAAGTTTCCCGGGTTTTCTCCACGTGTGTAACGTCCGAATAGGGAAATCAGTTGTCCTTAAAACGACCTTCCGGAAGGCATCCCCTAGGCAACGCAATACATGGGCAGATCGCCCATGTGTTGCGTTGCCGTAACTTAACAAGCAAACCTTTAAAGCCAATACGGAGTTTATCGGCAACGAAACGCTTTGCGTTTTCAGACCATGTTACTCGGATTATAAAATATATAATAGGTACAGTACCTACTAGTGGACAACACTACTGGTAGTAGGTCACGGGTTCACGCCCGGCCAACGGGCTAATCATGTGGAGTTTTTCAGATTTTCTTCACGTTAGTAACACCTAAATTGAGACGTTTCTCATAAAAATGTCTCCATAAATTATACGCTGAGATAAAGCGAAGGTATTAAACTTATTGTTGGATAAATTTGAAATAAAATAGACGTCGATTCCACATTTTGAAACTTTATTAAATGGGGATGATGAAAAGTCGGGGACAATCTTTAAAAATTCTACTGATAATGGCAAAGTTTGATCCGAACTATGCGGTTTTCTAAAGAATACACAATGATATTAATCCTGCATTATCCTTAATGTTCTTCAGTGTTCTCAGGATGACGGCCTGATTGCCGTGTGGTCAAGGTTGCAACCTACCGCTCTGGGGGACCCTGTATCGAAATCGGACGGGAAGAAAATTTTCAGGAATTTTTCGGATGGTGGTCCGTCCGGCCATTTTTTGGGTGGAGATGAAAAATTTCTGGTGTTATCTGCAGTATATAAGTTGGCAACGAGTCATTTAGGGCGGTCAATGTTTGTCTTATTCAACTGTCAATTTGAATTAATTTACATATAAATAATAGTTAAATAATAGTTTGAAAGAAACTAGGACTTCAAGCACCATAAACAGTAAAAGAAGAAATAATAGTTTGTAAGTTTGTCTGGCGGTAAGTAACGTAAATTGTTTTTGTAAATGGTATTTTGACGTCTGACTGTGATAAAGGTAGTGAAAATTCAAACATAAAATTTAAAATAAAATGAGGTTATTTTCAAGTTAAAAATATTTTGATTGTTAGATATGATTACTTTTGTTATTCATATTTATTAGCATAAAAAAACACTGATGAATAATAAAATCATTATTCAATGTGCGAAATAAGCAATCTGCCCCCTCAAAAATTAGGGGGCAGTTACGAGATGAACACATTGAATTGCATTCAGATAAGTGCAAATTGTGTGGCATCACTTTTATTATTATGAAGGTGAAAAATACGTTAAACAACACGAGGCATCTGTTCGTCATAGACGTAATATATCTGCACAGAAGAGTAGCCAAATGACCAACTATCAGAGTTCAGTAGTTTTATCCACTCTGCCACTGATGGCTTGTTGTTCTGAAGCAGAAGACCATCGCCTTTATTGTCTCAGACGTTTTAAATTTAGAATTTACACATGGATTCCTCGTGTCGAAGGGACTACACCTTAACACCAAGAGATGTTTAAACTCGTGATTTTGAATTCTGCCACACGGGACGTAAGTTAAGTCTTGGCAGCCATTAAGATACTGTTAGTTATTAGCATAGATCTATAATTTTTAGTTTCTCACTGGCGACATGCCTTATAATACCAATTCGGGTAGATATTAAACAATGCTTGGTTGCTATAATAGCCAGAGAGTTCTTTATAAGGGGTTTGAAGCTGTATGCAATGTATGTACATGAAAACATATGGGTCGATGAATCTCCAGGAATTTTACGGGGTGGCCCGTTCGGATATGTCGGGTCCCGCCTCTCATAATCCGGCCGCCCTATTGTGGGCCTAGCCGAACCCATAATGGGCTCGGTAATGGAGACCCTCTTATTAGTTATCAAGCGAAATTTATCACTAAAAAGTAAGCCATACGCTTAATAACTGGATGCACCCTTAATTTCAACTTTTTAGAGGAACCTCTATGGTTTGTACAGATCATTTGGATCTCTTCCACCAACAACTCCTGGCTGAGCCACTCCGAAGATGACTTGGTCTTTCCTTTTGCCGTTGACAAACAGTCACCGCTCGACAAGGTTGGACAGGATAATAACAATAATAATAATTGCCAAATTACGGGCTTTGAAACTCTTTCCGTCCCGTGCCCAATAAGAGGGCTTTTTTGAAGCAATCCATTATAAATTCGGTCAGGCCCACAGTGGGGCAGCCTGGGACGGGGTCCGAAAAATTTCAGATTCGATCCCGGATCCTCCAGAGCAGTGGACACCACCCTAATCGGCTGTAGGTCTATAGAGTTAGGTCAATCCCCTAACCAGTAGAGATCGCTCGATGGCCGGAATAAAACCGAAAATCTCCATATAAACCGAAGGAGTTTTTTATTTTAACTCTTTCCGCCCTGTGGGCACTAGGAGGGCCTCTTTTTGTAAGCCCATTATGGGTTCGGCCAGGCTTACAATGGGGCTGCTGGGTAGTGAGAAACGGGGCCCGACATATCCGAACGGACCACCCCCGAAAAATTCCCGGGGATTTTTTGACCCGTTCGGATTCGAACCCGGGTTTCCCAGAGCGGTAGGCTGCCACCTTGACCTCTCGGCCATCCGACCGCTAAACCGAAGGAATTAGGCACGACATAATTTTTTTCAAAATAAACGAGTACAAAGACTTAATTAATTAATTAATACTCCAAATACGGAGAAAATAAATAATTTATTAGTTCGAAAGACATTAATTTAGTTTTAAAAAATATTTTAAAAATTTATTTAAAAATAATCTCGAACCGCTCGATTTCACGTCATCATCCCCAACCCGGAAGCCAAACAACGCCCCTCCAAAATGAACCGAAAGTCTTACGGTATCCTCGTTTAGAAAACAATGCGGACGTGTAAACCCTAAAAATGCTGGATATTCGCGGGAAAAGTAAGTATACGGATACGCGGAATAATTCCATTCTCGTAATTAAAGAGGGAGGACGATTCCGTCTCTGGGTTTAACGCGCCGACGTCTTCCCTCGGAAACAAGATATTATTTAATTAGCATAATTTTCCGGTAGGACGTCAAGAAAGAATGTTTACGTTAGTCTCGAATTACTTATTAAAACCTTCGGCCATTTCCTCTTTCGCTCCTCCTCCTCCTCCAATTGCCAAATTTAGAAGTCGATAAGTGGCACCACTTCCAACGAATAAAGGCAAGATTGTTGCATTTATTTTAATAATATTGCCGACAGTAACTTCAGTGTCCGGCGATTTCGGATGAAGAGCAGTTTAAAAGGCGACGAATGTAGGTGGAGTAGAAATTTACGCGAAGGTCGAGCTCTCTATTGACGTTTATTATTGCCGAGGCTGCTTAGAATCCGTAAAGTAAAAAGTGCTCGTGGTAATTCTGCCGTTTAATTACCGTGCTGGGCAAATCCTTTGCCGCGCTCGCATTTTCCGCACCGGGTTGTTTCGACGCCTCCGGAGTGGTCCCGTCGGAAGTCTGGGAGCGTCTGCACGCCTCTTTCCTCGCCGAATGTTGCGGTGGTCTCGGTCGGTCCGGGAAGACCGATACTACCGTCCCCTCTCCGGGAAGTTTCTCGTATTTCTGGTGTTTGGACGGAGTTTCCTTTGCGATACGTTACTCACACCACGACGGAACTATAAAAGTTATTATGGTTTGCTTAAAAGTTTAAATTGCTTACTCCCGACGATAGTTCCTTTATGCAATTGTTATATAAATCTATAGTAAATGTAGTGATCGAGTCCTTAAAACATTTTATCGTCGTGTCTCTTGTAAGTCGAGTTCTGGATTACAAAGATGTAGTCAGAATTGTCTGTCGTAATTTATGAATTGTAGTAAATTTGGAGTAATTATTATACGTGTACAAGAAATCGTTGAATAATTTATTGTGTATAATTGTTCAGGAATGTTGAAGAATTATTACATAAAGAATTTCGAATTATTATGTAATACTCTTTCAAAAGAGTAGTAGTTCTGTTATATAATAATTCAAATTATTATGGTCGATGGACGTGAATTGAAGCCTTTTAAATGTACCTGTACATAATTTATTTGTCTGGAAATGTTAAGGCAATATTTTTAAACATTAAGAATGTTCAAAAATTTATAATTCAGTTTTTTAATGTGTGTTAAATTAATTGATTGCAACATGTTTTTACGCAATATATATTTAAAAAATATTCTAAATACTTATTAATTGCTTAAACTAATGCAATTTTATATGAAATTTCTTTCAAATTACATTAGATTTTATAAAATTAAATATAATAATCTAAATTTTCAGAAGGTGAAACTTGATTAGAATAGTCCACTATTGCTTAATTTTGACATGGAGAATGGTAAAGTACAACAAAATGGGGGAAAAAACGAATGCGAAGGTTTGCAATTATGCAAAGAAGACTTGAGATCGAAATTAACGCCGTTGCAATATCAAGTTACTCAAGAAAAGGGGACGGAAAGGTAAATTGTGAAAAATGTATTATTTTAGAGTGTTAAAGCTAATTTATTTATATATAATAATTATTATTATTAACTACTTGATAAACTGGATGTGTGTTAAGAATACACAACAAAAATACCAAAATCAGGCACATAAAAGGTACTTTAATGATGAAATGAATTGTTTTGTACAGTTTTAAACAGTAGAAAATGATTTTTGACATCACCTCGGGTGCCTATATGTTGGCACACATTCCCCTTTGTTGCTGGATTGCCCCCTCGGGGATTGAGAATGAGAAAAAAAATCCCCAAGTTTTTTACTGATGACAAAATAAAAATATTTGTTATTAACCGAAAATTTGTTCCAGCAGGTCGTGATTGTTCGGTTGAGTACAAGCAAGGTACCACTGTATTTGATAAATGTGGTAGCATCAAGGGATTAATTAACTGCATTAATCAAGGGATGCCTGTGTGTGTGTATATATATATAGGAGGTATCTTCTTGCATAATGTAAGTCTGATGCCCTCTTTTTATAGTCTACAGATGCCACTGCTTCATCTAATGAATACTTTTAATTCTTCTCCTATGTCATCTATTGCCATTGTGTGAATGGCATTCTCCAATCAATGACTTATTCTATTTTTTTAAAATTAAATTAACCTGATCATGACCATTTAAAATGGTAGAAATTTTTTGCTTAGGTATTAAAGTACCTTTTATGTGCTTGATTTTGTTTTCATTGCGTTTTCTTATATATACAAGTACCGTGTTTTCCCGAAAATAAGACCTAGCAGAGGTTTTGCTGAATTGCTAAATATAAGGCCTCCCCCCCCCGAAAGTAAGACCTAGCAAAGTTTTTTTTACTCGTAACGGTCATCGACAGATGGTTGAAAGTGGCCGTTGGCATTTTGAAAGTACAGCCACTGATTGGTCAGCAGACAATCACGCCACACGGCATGATTTGCATAAGACTATGGCTTGGGAATCGCAGATTTGCATAATGTTACGGCTGGTGATTGCTAATTGATCGGCCAGGAATCACGCTACATCACATTTGCATAGTGCTATTCAGTAAGCACTAATTGGTCATCGAGCCCGATGTCGATGCTATAAAAATGTTAAGTTGAAGAGAGAGTGGGAAATCCACTCCAGCATGAGAACTTCATAAGTTCACTTTTGTTTGTGACTTCGGTTTTATTTAAGTTCAGTTCGACACGACCAGATATACGTCACTCTCGTCTAAGTTCGACTTGGGAAGTTTTTTGTTCAACAATAAATGTGAATTCTTCTTCATGGAAAAATAAGACATCCTGTGAAAATAAAACCTAGCGCATCTTTGAGAGCAAAAATTAATATAAGGTCTTATTTTCGGGGAAACGGGGTAGTAATAATATTGCTTAATTTTTAGTGTCTAATTTTGACAGTTAAAGAGTCAGTAGTAGAAACAGGTTTTTGGGTACAAAGAATGTAACTTAACCTGGATAAAGTGGAAAATTAAGATTATATTCATAGATAAATAAGTAAAATTGGGTATAATGATCATCTTGGAGCGGGTATAATGGTTATATTTCAAGAATAAGTTTGAACCTTTTCAGAGAAATAAAGGTCGTACGACGAGGGAACATACGGACACATGTAAGGATGGGCCAAATAAAGGTTTTTGGCCAAGTACTAAATAATTATTTGGATATATTGTTGCTGAATACCAAATATTTATATTTTTCTGACTACCATATACCATCTGATTTATTTGGAACTGCCTGAAACAGAAGGTTTAGGCCCTAAGTCGTAAAGTGGAACGCAGCATCTTCTATGCAATAATAAAGATTATATTGTATATGTTACTTTAAAAAAATGATTATGTAATGAAAAGTAAAAAAATTAAATCTTGCCATTGAGGTCCACTGGTTTTTGGCAGCCCTACAAAGTAGTGTATTCATTGAACATACAATATATTCAATGAAGCTGGAAGACAACCAACAAAATCACTTAGTTTCATAAGCATTAATGTATTTTGGTTGCAATTTATTATTACTGAATTGTGATTGTTAGTTTATTTGCTCAAAATCATTTATTAAAGTTATATCTGTTTCAAAAAGGAATGAATAATAATCTTAAATATCTGATATATACTGTCATTTTGTTTGATTGGAAAATCATTTAGAACATTGATTGGGCAGCAGTTTGAAAAAATTGTAGTGTTATTAATGTTTGTCTGTCTCTCTCTGTCCTTCCTTAATCCAGAGAATGGAGTTAGGTAGATGAAAGTTGAGACCAGATATGGAAAGGATAGGAGCGGGAGACTCCAATTACCTATATACAAACTTCCGATTTGCACCAGAAGTCGCATTATTTCAGTTCAGAAATTTTCTCCTGAATGGAGTTAGATAGATGACTAGCATGACTTCATTGTTAATAGGAAAAGCATGAAAACCAGAGGCAAAACACTGCTAAAAAATTTGAGAGCATCGTGATGAAAAATTGCAGTCTGGCATTGTGACGATGTCACGATGAATAATTGCTCATTTGTTTTTGTAAATAAATTTTAATTTATTTTATTTAACTTCATTTGGTAAATTAATTCAAAATATTATAATAGAGAGGTTGTGGCTGACGTTTTCATCGCAAAAACGTGAACGTCGGACGTTCGGCTGCGCCTTCCTGTTAGCCCTGAAATTTGACAATGGCATTTGGAACATTAGTGGAATCATGCTCGGTGTTCCAAATGCCATTGTCAAACTTCTAGGCTTACAGGAAGTCAGTGCTGAATGTCTGACGTTCACGTTTTTGCAATGAAAACGTTGGCTGCAACTTCTCTAATGTAGAGATAATGCCCATTAAGCATTAACTCCCTAAATTATATGATCTTGACCTTAGCCCTGAAAATCATTAATGCAAATTTTCTATAAAACAAACTAATTACTGTTTTCCTTGTGATTCATATTAACACAAGTTGATTGTATTACTTTTCTTAGAATCAACTATAGTCTATTTATCCTAACTTGGCACCTACTGTAAACAAAGATTTTGTCGTATTAATCCGCTGGAAATTTTCATTGGTCAAATCACAGTCGGAAGTGGCTAGACACGTGTTGACCAGTTTAACAAGTGCAGAGAAAAGGGCTTAAGTAGGTCAGAGTGGTCAGCAATTTAAAAATTACCGAGATAATACTTAGAAAAGTTATTATAGCCTACTTTAACATTTTTATGTAGCCGTTTAAATATAGTGAATGATATATATTTAATAATAATTTTTTGACAAAGATTTACACAAAACATATTTATAATTGTGTAGTTGAACATACTTCAGAATTTTTATCTACACAACTAATTTATTAAATAGATACATCAATAAAACAAAACAAAAAAAATTCTCCGGCAATCCTTAAAAATCATACGCAAACCTCTAAAGGAAAATGTTACTGTAATGTATGAATTAATCTTTGTGATATTTATATAATTAATGGGGAGGAAGGGGTTAACTAATGATTTTATAAATAACAAAGAACTATTTTCTGCAGATAAATGAGACGCAACACGGTTTCTAATTGATGGACATGGGTTTAAACCAATAAACAAAGGGAGGTGTGTCTTAGTTTGTTTACAGTAGGTGCCAAGTTACGATAGACTATAGGATGGAATTGAATGCATTTATGAATATAAAACTTTCAAGAATTAAACGAGTTTCTGAAAATATTTCTCAAAAACAAGCAGCGAATATAATTTGTGAAAACAAAGGCAATAAGGTAATATAGTGCTGCCAGTTTGTCTTGTATGCCATAGTAAGTAACTAGTACTGAGTGTTTGAAAACAAATCAATCAACATGTTGATAATTACAGAGATCAAAGTAAACAATTAGAGTATTAAAATTGAGAAGCCAGATCACAGAGTACTTTGATCTCTGTCTTACTGTAATGCGATTAGAATGTCTGATAGCAGAACAAGATACTAGTTTTTGGTACTCAAATTGGCTTATTGACTGTCATGAACTCATAAGGATTGCTTCCTTTGAAAGTATTTGAATACCTAGCACAAGTTCTTGGGAACAACGAGAAGTTCTATATAATTGATTATGTTTTAAATGATTAATTGGAATCGCTTTGGATTAAGCTAAGTAATAAGATGTTTTAAGAGTAATAAGAAGCGAGTCCATTTTAAAGTTTATTCTTTTGACAATAAGCTACTCAAACACTTTTTATATAAGAGTATTTCTTCATATTGCACTGAAATAACACATACTAGAGCTTTTAATTATTCATTTCTGTGAATATGAGTCACTTCAATAAATATATGGAAAATAAATTTTTTCATTAGCGTCTCTAAAAACAGAATTTACGTCTTAGAGGAAACTATAACAATAATTATATATTATACCTTTTAAGAATACATTATATTTGAGTAAATATGATGTGTTTGCAACAACAATAAACTTCAATATCTTTTTCAAGATGACAACAAAAGCTTATCAAAGATGGTTTGGAAGTTTTGTTGAAATAATGAATTATTTTCTTATTTACAAGATACATTTGATAACAATAATATGAATAAAACACATCTTTAACAATCCAGCAAATAAATTATTTTAATAACATAAAAATGTTTTCAACCATTTTTATGTTACTAAAATAATTTATTTGCTGGATTGTTAAAGGTGTGTTTTATTCATATACGTTTGATGCCGTCCGACAATGTTTGTATCTAGTATTATATATTTGGCATGGGAGTTTAACATATTCTTGACTTTATTTGTAATTTAACTTAATGTTAGGTTTGAAATTAATTTTTATTCTTTATTTTATGAAAAATTTCATATTTTAAAGCTCGGAATTCACCCGATTCCGATTCTTCGGGTTGAAATAGTTCCGAAAATGTTTGTGATTTGATACATTTTGCACATTTTGCTGGAAGCCGAAGAGGCTGTGGTTGAATTTATTCCATTTCCAGTGATAGAGAAGTACGTTTTGTTCACTTATGTAACATTTTGCCAGTTATTTATGGTCATCTATTTTGAAAATATATTGCATGTACAAAAACTACTCACGAGTTTTTATGGGAAGTTCAGGTAGGATTGTCTAATAATATCAATTAAAGTGGGGCTTACCTTAAAGAAAATAATTGAGAGAGGAGTAAAGGCAAGGCATGCATATTTGTTTTTGAGGTTTTAAAAAAAATTGCTGACAGATCATTTTTGTGTACAAAGGATTTTTTATGTTTTCTAAGGATTCTCTTAATTAATGACTTTAGACAATGGAAAACTTGTTTGCTGAGTTTGTAATTACTGCTTAAAATCTTCAGATAGCCTGCATTTTTTTTCAAATTAACTTTTAAGCTTAAATAATTTAATTTGAATGACCATGGGGTCATTCAAATTAAATTATTGTAATCGGTAATACTGCCTGCCTATCTAATCTTGCATTAGTTATAGGTTTGTCATTGCTAGATTTGTCTCTTCTTGATTTCTGTAAATTAATTAATTAATTTTAATACAAAGTGGCACTTAGGACTTATAGTGTCAAATTATTTTAATAAAGTTTTGTATAAAAATAGGCCTATAATTTTGGTGGGTTTTTCTTTTTTTTGCTATTTCTGATTATTATATGAGGGTCATTCAAATGTAACCCGACCAATGGATATATTAAAGTATGAAATGTGTATAGTGAATATCCTCCATTTGAAATTTAGGTGGAAACACTGCAGTGTCATGTGAACCTACAAACGAGCTGCGTTTGTTTAGCATGTCAGGCAGATACTCCATCCAACTTTCAAGCATGGATGCGTCAACAATTGCATGATGAACAACAGCTGATGGAGTTTACTGCCTGTGGAACCACCATAAATGCTGCTTGGTACGTGGAAACTTTTAAAATCTCTGCAAGCTTCCATCGAGTCCAAGCGGCCTTGCCTGCTTTCACAAGATGTCATTGTCCTTCATGACAACGCCCTTCCTCACACTGCATGCATTGTGCAGGAATCCCTTGTGAAATTCAAGTGGGAAACATTCCAGAATCCTGCACACAGTTCTGACTTGTCTCCGTGTGATTTCCATGTTTTCGAGGAAATTAGGGGCACCTGAAAGGGCATAAGTTTCAATCAGATGCTGAGGTTGGAAGACTCAGTTCAGGAATGGTACAGACATCAACCCACTGAGTTCTATGAGCAAGGAATTGAACGTCTGGTGTCAGTGCCTTACTCATCGGGGGAATTACTTTTAATGTAATATACTGTATCTATTAAATAAAGTCATTGGTTGGGTTTTATTTGAATGACCCTCATAGTAATTTTTTCATGGATACTTGAGTTTCGTGGACAAAATCTTTAGTTTTGAGTGTGTATGATAAACCCTATTTCTACTGTAAGTACTGGTGTACATATAGTGTCATATCTGTCTCAAGTTTGCAGCTTTTAAGCATCAATAAGTCATTACTCATTCCACCATACTTAATGATAGAAATATTGCATTAGATAATATAATATCCACATGGCTTTTTTTAGAAAGCTTACTATTAGTTTAGTTAATTTGTAGGATTGGCTTAGTTAATTTGTAGGAATAGTATATTGATTATTCCAGTTGTGTTATCATCCGTGTCGAGATCACATAAGAAAGACACACAAACACCTTGATTTACAGAAGTAAACTACTACTAGTGTTAAATTACTACTTGCATTAACTTGCGAGTTATTTCAGTAAAACAATCATTATGCGAGTGTGGACCGCAGCATCTAGTGGCGATGTCAGGTAACAGTTTTAATACTTCAATATAATTGCTATTTTTAAATTCTTCTGTTTGGCAAAATATAGTTTATGCTAACTCTTTCCCTATCAAACACTATTCTATCAGTGGCGTGCCGTGATATTTAACCACTTAGTCAAATAGCTCCTTACGAGTGGAATCAGACGATCCTGCTAAGTGTGAGGTGTGTGCATGCACGCGGGCTGACAAATCCCGAAGGTGCCGATACCGGTCAATGACAAATGCCTGTTTAGTCGCATCACTAGTATATCTCAAAGGACACGACAGGGCTGCTGTAGATTTTAAACGTTTCTCACCATAGCTGTAAAAATCTAAATATGTTAAACTTAATAGTCATTTGTTTTCTAACTAATTCGTTTTAGGACCAGGTGTCCACGGAAATTTCCAAAATTTACAACTTTTCGGTCGCTCTCGTTGAACTGGAAAAATTTCTGTCTTTATTACATTAATAATGCGAAGAAATCAGTCTCCACTGTACTCAGCTAGAGATGGTTCGGTTAAGCTTTTGTTTAAGTAAAATTCCGGCTCTTTCATCAGGGTTTTGTTTGTCCCCAATTCCCTAATCGCTTAATTATTTAACTACTACTTAAGTAGAAATAAGTCGAAACCAGTTACTTTGTACTCGAATGTTTGTAGTCTCGGGGAAAAAAGTGAAAAGACAAATTTTTATGACAATGGATACATAAATCGTAAATTTAGGAAAATAAATTCTAGAGCTTTTTCTGTACCTGGTGCATCTCTCATTCATTAAATTTAGTTGTAAATGATGCTGCCAAAGTAACAGTTAATTTTTTAACATTGTACAAGAATCGTACACGTTTTCTTCTACATCCTCTTATAGATGGGACATACAAAACCGTAATATCACTGGTTTAACATTGAAATATGTAAGTAATGCGAGGGTGGCCAAATATCTAGTGGGCGGGTGGCTAACAGCCCAAAACCAGTCCTGGATAGAATTGGAAGCATTATACGTGTAGCATCCACCCAAGGTCCTAGGTTTCCACCAGCTAAACCGGATGAAGTTGGTGCTCTGTAAAGCGCATGCGCGAATCTGGCTATTTGGAAGCTGACAATACAGTGCTTCCACTCCGCCACTAATATTAGAATATACAATAGCAATCTTATTATTTTTTCACGTGTAGTATAGAAATTTGTAATAAGATACATAATGCGGTTATAATAAAATATTGTGCGATTATTTTCATATAATTAAAATTAATATGTATTTATTTTTTAGAAAATACAAGGAAAGCGGCGCTTCCACCGCTTTCAATGACGGCACGCCACTGTATTTTATTATGGGTAAATTTTTAAGAAAATATTTTAAAATAGCTGCTAGAGTTTCAGATCAGACTGTTCATCGGAAAACTTTCATCACCCATGCAAATTTTGTTTGGATAAGAATAAGATATTGATAAAGCTGCCATTTATTTAGTTAAGCTAATAAAAAAATCATAAGTGCTTTTATTATTTTGATTCCACTTTGAGATCTTTAAATGTGAGAATTAAAGAGCACTTTCACCAAATATTTAATAACAATCCACGAAACCTTTTTATAACAGTGTTATCTCCGTAACAAACTTAGAAGTCGTTTTGTATTAAATATTTAGTGATTACTCCCCGATCACCACCACCGCAATTAGTTGCGTATGCTAACGTTATCGTACTTTGAGACAAAGCAGCTTAATTACGGAATTAAATAATTATTTATCACTCATTTTCCTGGAACAGAGTTAATTTAGCACACTTCATTAATGATAAAGCTATTATCTTATATTACATAAGGAGGCAATTAAATAATCTTTGAAGAAAATGCAGGTACATAAAAAAGGAAAGATGATAATAGTCAAACTGTCGGTAGATTGTAATTTTGAGCCAGAGTGAAACTAGAACAATTACGAGTTACAAAGATTCTTGTAACTCGTCATTATTACAAGTCTTGGAATTGTGTGTTTAAAAATGTGTTTAATGAAACAATTTTTATGATAGTAATTAATTTACAAATTTAAAAATATATATATATTCATTTAATATTAAAATTATGTTTTGTGAAAGTTTGAGGATGTTTTAAGTGTTTAAGAAAAGTAAAAATATTCTCAGATAGTTACTCGTAGTTAGTTTTATATTTGTAATTATGTTTGTAAATATCATCAAACTAGGGCTGTGAAGTCGCGTAAAAATCTACCTAATCTGACTTTTCCTTACCATCCGACTCCGTCTCATATACATAACAAGTTGGTAAGTAAAAGGGAGTCGGAGTTGGCGGACTTTTTGATGACCACGACTCCGACTCCACAGCCCTGCATCAAACTTCAATATATGTGTATTTTTGTAGTAGTAGTAATAGTACTACTACAAAAACATACATATATTGATGATCAATATTTGTATACAAATGATTTTTCTCTCGTTTCATGTATGAAAGGTAATCACAAATTATTTGATCATTGATACTCATTCTTTTTAAACATTTAGTAATAAGTTACTATCTCTTTTTGTACAAAAGATTAAAAAACTTTAGATATACCTTTCACACTTTCCAGCACACAAATTAAGTTTTTGACTTGCTTGATAAATCTTCTTCGGGTTAAATGTTAAAAAACATAATTTAAGCATGGATTCTCATTTAGAATGTCTTTTCATACAAATTCTCCAATTATACATAAGGTTTTTTTAAGCTTTATTATGTATTTTTTTGTCAACTGAATTTTGTAATTTAGTATCAATTCAAAAGGGAAGGTTACAAGAAATGACTGCCTTTTAATGAAAAATTCACATTTACTTATATTTTGAATATTTATTCATTCGAATTCTTATTTATTTTCCGTAATGTAATTTTTATATATTTTAGACCCTACAGTGGAAAATACTATAAAACAACGGAAAGCGGATTGTATAATTGCATCGTCTGCGGAGAAGAACTTTTTTCTTCGGAGAAAAAATATCATTCGGGATGCGGATGGCCTGCGTTTTCCGACGTGATCGATCGTAATAAAGTTAATTTTAAAACGGATTTATCTCACGGTAAGAATTCAGTAATAATTGTAAATTATTAATTTTATTAACAACACTTCAAAAATATATTTAAATACAATGATTCTAATATAAATATCCATAAATCTGATTATTAGACTAAGCCAAATGATTGCCAGATTATATCAGGCTTTATGAATGCTAATTAATATGTATTAATTAGCATTCATAAAACCTGATATAATTCTAACATGAATTTAATCACACAACAACAACATTTTTTATATCATTTATTACACAGCTAATACATGACTACATTAGCCAGCCTGGCCAAGCACACACAAATGAAATCAGAGTACTACACACAACTAGAATGCAATCATCTCATACACCTGGAAAAGCTAGATATAAATTATATAGGACTTGTATGAAAAATAAGGCCATAAATTTCAAAGATAATAATACCCTCCCTCTATCATGGAGATATCTATTTGAAGTCCAGCAATAAATACTACGTGTATCATTAATGTCATCAGATGATTACTCTTCCTTTATTACGACATTCGATTCACCTGCATTTCTTTTTGAACACATCTAATCTGATAATGATAAGCAAACACTTGATTATAGCCACAGTTATCAAAAATGTTTACATTTTTGCTGGAGTTTTTGGTTTTTTTTTTTTTCATTTTCTTATTCAACTTGATGCAAAGTTACCAGCAAGCACAAAATATGTTTTTAAGTAATTTTGGTCTGAAAGGGGGCCTTTTTCTGGCAACAGGTTGAAGTTAATTCGACCAAAAGTAGTCATTGACCATCGGCCGGAAGAGAGGATGATCTCTGAGGAGTTTCATTGTTAATGTGTTTGTTCTTTATACATTTTGACATGATTTGAGCAAATGCAAACTTTCTCCTTTAAATAATATGGAAAATTAAAGGAGAAAGGTGATGTTTTTATTATATATTATATTATTTAGACATATTATTAAGTTTATAATTATTTTTATAGTTGGACCTAATTTATTGCTTCTTGCTCTGAAACCCGATTTGGCGAGGACAGAAGTTTCCTGCGCAAGATGCGGCGCCCACCTCGGTCACGTTTTCGAAGATGGACCAAAACCCACCGGAAAGCGCTACTGCGTCAACTCCGCCGCGTTGGACTTCCGGAGAACGGAATGCCACTCGGACAGTAACAAAAATTCAAGCGGAGAAAATTCCGAAAATCACGAAGAGAATCAGTCGCCCGGTCGGATCTAACGGAACGCGACGTTTCTTTTCCGGCGACATCCACGTCACCAGATGCGGAGGCACTCTGAGAATCTCTCCGTCAGCCATTGGTCTTGTTTTGTTTATGAAATTTTTATTAATTTTTCAAATTTTATTTTTTGTATAGAAATTAATAATATTTACAATATATTTAAATTCAAATAGCTAATATAAAATATATACATACACACACACATATATATATATTTATTTCTAAAAGTTTAATTTTAATTTTATTATTGGTTTTAATCCTTTATCTGTAATCAGAAAAAGAATATTTTCAGTATAAAAGTTTTATGGGAAAAAAAATATATATTTCAAGGCAAAATGCATCTAAATCAGTAATGTATAAAGTACCACAATCAACCCATCGGTGATTTTATATATATCAACTTCTGTCAGATTGATTATCTCCACATAATAAAAGAACAAAAAGGAAGAAAGCCAAAAAGATTTCTCCTCACAATTATCAGTTGTAAAAAGTAAAGTTTTCATTAACATTAAAATGATCTACTATTAAAATTAATTTATAAGTTGAATCACTTGAAAAAATGACAAAATAAATTGTTATAAATTGTTGACCGAGCAGTTTCTTGGTCGTTTGGGACATTAAAATAGCAGTCGCTACGGGGGACCATCACAGTTAATCGTTAACCAAATTTACCAGCTTTGTCGAATAATTATTGCATAATATAATTTTTAAGATGGACGTAAATTCAAAAGAAATGCTATAAAATATAAAAAAAGGCCTAAATATTGTTGAAATCTGTTTAATATTTAATTTAAACAATGTTTGCTTTTTCTTTGAAATTTATGAATTTTAGTATGGAGCAACATAAAATGCTATAAAATTAAGAAGTCCTTTTGTATTTTAATTACAGTTACATGTTTTTAGAGACATTTGCCTCATCAGTTGACAATACCTAAAATTTGAATAAAACAAATAAAGATTCTTCATTCAAATTTCGGATATTGCGATATGAAACGTCTCAAAATGCTGTAAAAGTAAACATTTTACGTGTCCTTTTGTATTAAAAATTATTAGTTGATCAAAATTGTCAAAAATATCAGTAACAGAATTAAAATTCACGGGGAAAATTTTATAAGTATTTCCAATATTCGGAATTTAGGGACCAAATTGCATTTATTACATGTAACATTTCGTCTATTATCAATTAAATACTTCTCACGTCGACAATGCAAATGCTATAGCAGCAAATTCTTGGGATTGTTTCCATTTTGTATAAGAAGTTCATTCTCAAAATTAATCTATTATTTAATAAGTAGGAAATCTTTTTAATGGCAGTAGACTGATTTTTGATCTCCCACGTACTGAAAATATTCTTGAATGCATTATCGTTAGTTTGGATTCTGTCTTTCACGATGCGTGTCGTATACAAAAATACATTTGGATGTCGAGTGCCAATTTAATGCGCTTGCATAATTTACGAAGCGTTAAATCTAATTTCCGTCTTATCAAAAAGGATTTTCGAAACCACTCTTCCATTTTTATAATTTGACGTTCGCGATAAGTTATGCTCCGCCACGGAACCGATCCCGGGGCGTCGTCTGTAAATAGTGGCAGAGAGGCAAAAATGTTGGGTCTGCACGAATTTTTAATCGAAATTTTAAGTTGTCGGCAATATAAATATTGGGAAAATCGTTTTAATATATATAATGATTTTGTAAATAATTTGTCATTTGTAGATAGTGATGTGCTGTAGTTTTTCACGACTAATGTTTAACGATATTTTGTATCTGCACTGTGCTATTTCAATACTTTCTAATCGGGAATGTTTTTAAAAAGATCATGATGTAAATAGTTTGTCTTGTATCGTATGTTTAGAATAAAATTGCCTGCCATTTTGCTTCTATAAATAAATACCCAATTCATTTATATTAATCATCATCTCATTGTGTGTGTTTAAATATGGAGGGATCATTTATCATTTGGATTCCAAACAATCCAATTATCTCTAGTAAAAAGTCATCTAAGTGAAATGAAGTATTGTATATAATTTCACTAGAGAATAAGTGTGTAATTTTATAATAATGGATTAGAATTATAAAAACAGCAGCAAAGGTGAGGAACCTGTGATTTAAATCATCAAACTGCATGCAGTGAAAACGTCAATGTTGTCACTCACTCTTGCTGAGAAAGCTTCTGTTTTTTTCACTTTATTTTAGGGGTTTTAATCAAACACCAACGAAGCCTAAGAGGAAAGTTATTGTATCAACAATTAATTAAGGTAAAAGGGAACTTATCAAATCATGAAAGCAGTACATGTGTGGTAATCTGGCAGATATTTTTACAATCCAAAGTTGACGGTGTCGACCATTAAGAAAAAGGAAGGAATAAAAGCAGAAAATTTGGCTAAAGGTATGATAATGTTTTCTTCTGGGAGATTGCATGTTATTAAGGAGACAGAAAAACTTCTCCTGGTGAGGATAAATGAGAAGCACCTCATTCATTCACAGTAAATGCAATTTCATTTTATTACATAGTATTTACATATTGTTTTTATTATTTAGGACATTTGTGAATTAAGAATAAATGAACAAGCAGCAGCATATACATTCCGTAAGCATTTTCCAGCTACGTCAAAACTTATGCATAAGACTATTTTGAGTATAATACAGTAGACCCCCTGTAACACTGTTGATAATTCCATGTTGTATGAGTCACTTAGATTTTACAAATGTGTGTGCTGGGCCGTGAACGGCTCACGTATTTGTAAAATCGAAGTGACTCGTACAGCACGGAATTCATATAACACAGAATTATCACTGGTGTTATAGAGGGGGTCTACTGTACACCATTTGTTAAAGGGATCACATTCCGGGTTGCCTTTGTCTTCACGACATTAAATTTTTGACATACTGCTATGTAAATTCACATACAAGTATACACGAAGTAGCAAGGCATTATAGACTGTCAGTTACAACTATTCATTTTGGTGTTGTCATTACATATACTCGTTCAACTACTATTTGCAAAAGGCACAACATGCAATGGATGACAAGTGATCTGACATGCAACACAATGTGGTTCACCCTGGCATAGATTTAATAATGCTAGAGACATTTCGTGAACCAACGAGGCATCTTTTCCCAGAACGAAGTAAGCACGAGTGGCACATAGCTTCTACACGACTGTGATGCCAGGTATGCCATGTGCTACTGAATGCTACTGTCAAATGTGTACACCTTGGTGTTCATTTTAATATTTCAAAATAATACAATGTATATGATATTGTTTCTTTTAAAATTAAGCTCTTAGCATTTAATTTTTCTTCTAATAATCCAGGGTTGTCAAAAATTAAGAATATTAAATGTATTCAATGAATAATGAGAATAACAATATTATGTAATTGTTATTCAATAATAGCAAACCAACCATCATTATATATTAACATTGCAAGGATATCAATGTTAATGCCAATGTATATTGGCATTATTAAACAGATACACAAACATGCTAAAAAGGATTCTATTTTTTCAAACATATTTTTAGAAGGAATGGATTATTGGAGTTGTGTGTTGTTAAAGTAACAACTACTCTCAAGAACAGTGTTGTGACGGATTTGGTAACATGACTTAGCCATCACTGTAACTAAATATTTAAAGCAATCGAATGTCTTTGGTGTAATTTCTTTGACAATATCAACTTTGTATAATTGCAGTTAAAACATGAATATACAAACAATAGCTGGTCTTCCACGCTACAAAAGATAGTTACACATCTTCACTACAAGGGCGTTCAAAGTCTGATACGTTAATTACACCGATTTATTATATATATATATATATGGAACTCTAGATAGAGGAGTATGATGACAAGACACATGAATGACCATATGTTAGTGTGTTATATCTTTAGTTGAGTTGGACCTAAAAGTTTACTTGTTATTGACATTTATAATAGTTCTAAAAACTCATCTCTATCCTCAAAATTATGCATTATTTGTCTTTTTATAATAATTATCATCATCTCAACAGATGGCACCACACAATTTTAACTTTGAGCTAGTGTTTTTTTTAAATGGAGATTTTTAAGTATCATTATTCACAAAATTAATCCTTTTAAGCTTTTGTTATTTAAATTTTATATCCTAGCATAATTGAAAATTATTGGTCTTTCTAATGGTTACCTTAACGGTCCATAAAAGTATCAAAAAATTTAAACGAGATCCCTTGCCAGATTTTTTCAGAATGGGTGTGTGTCACTTTTATGATGATGATGCAAACTGCCATTTTGTCCAATCCACTATGACATCTTGCTGGTATCAAGAAAATGATATCCAGATAAGGGCTCTTGGTAGGCCAATTCATCCATTGAACACTTATTGCAAGAACTCGATCAGCAGATTCAGGCTAGGCTATCACTGCTCATCTGTGGTTAAACTTCCCCCTTTTCATACACATCAAATCAGATCACCACCTTGCCTTTCATTCATACTAAAAGATATCCAGTTTATATGCACTCATTTCCCTCACCAGTTTATTCACTTCAAATTCCAATTCTGTATTCACACTTCTGTCATTTTTTCTTGTAGTCCATTGACATTTCAGTTGTTTTCCGTTTGATGGAAGTGGTTTGGCCACAGCTTGTACGGGGCCAGCAACAGAGTGGTTCCCATTTGCTTTTTATTAAAAGATTTTATTTTTGTTATTAAAAATAATATTAAATTCATAAGAGTAGGAACTTTTATGGGCCTGAACAATACAGATTTCCAGGTCTGGGAAAAAACTGTCTGTGGTAAAATCCTCAACTCCAATCCCCATTGACAGTTCTAGTGGGGGCAATTCTCAAGGTCAGGACCCCATCATTATTATTGTACAGGTAGGGGCCAGCAGGTCAAACACATCTTGACCCAAAAAAATCAATTGTGCACCTCGTGAGAAATTACAACCCCCCTGTATTGCTCGTTTGTATATTGCATTTTATATTCGAAGATTCTTTTAAACAATCAATTGCCATTGAATTTCCACTGGCAGAAAAATATCACCTTATTCCAATTAGTGACTTTTAAACTGCCATTGTATGAAATACAATCCACAAAAAGCAAGTTAATGTGAAGAATCAAAAATAGACCAAACAACAGATGGTGAAGAGATAAATCAGTTACATCACATCATCTGATTAATTAATCACTCCTAACATGCACAATATAACAAGGGGATACTGTACTTCAAAGTCTCTAATCTCTCTAAAAAACAGATCTCTGAAAGAAAGCTGCGGGATGTCACCACGGTTGAATGAATCTACCCAAGAAAAGATCTGCACATTCACAAATCAGATGCAGAGGAGTCTTCTCGGCAGATATTGCAAAAGCAGTAAGAGGCCAAAGAAGAAAAATTCGGTCGGCATAATGTTTACAAAAGTGATCAAAGTCATCACAACACTAACCAAACTGCAAAAAAGATTCCTGTCAAAAGCAAAGAAATTTAGTTTGCACAGAGAGAAAGCTGAGCAAAAAGTCTTGTTCTGCTTTAAACCAGGAGTTAACTTCCAATGCTTGAAATGATTGGAGATATTAAGGTCCCCATTTGGCCAGTAGTTCATACTTACATCACCTGGCATCCACAAGAGAAAAACTATTGCAGATAGCCAACTCACTGAGCTGAAAACAGCACTCCCAAACAAGTATTGAAATAATCTGACAAGAGTCGCATGCCATTAAGGTAGCCTGACTATTAGAAGCAATGTAGATAATCTTATTAAGGGGATCTCTATGTAAAATAGTGCAACGTACCAAATAACACAGTAGAGCATCGATTATCCGAATATCAATCAACCAAAACATCAGTTAATCGAAAGCGTTCCAGTCGGCAAATTTAAATTTCCGCTATTGCTGTGGCGCTGCAATCTTTGGCAATGTCTTGGGCTACTCCAATATTATTTTTGTTGGGGTGCTTGTTTTAGCTGGCAGCACTGGCATGACCATGAGAGGGTACTTACGGACATGCCAGGATTTGAATGAATTTCAACATGGAATAAGTTAATGTATTTTTTTTGTACATAATCGGTTATCCGAACAATCCCAGTCCCAAATTGTTTCGGATAATTGATGCTCTATTGTAGTTAGCAACTATGCTTTGAAACAGTGCGGAACTCACCCAGTAGAACAAAAAAGCTCCTGCCCCACAAATACTAGCACTTATATTTTGGATCCATTTGTAAACCAGATAATATCCTGTAAATGAAAGATCACTCTATTCATGTGCTAGTCAACATGTGTGGGAAAGGAGACCAGCTAACATCTTAGTAAAGTCAAATGTCCAACAGCAGTTGGTCTAAAAATAAGTTGACCAGTACACTTAAGTCTATAAAGAATACTCCTTGCTCTGCATAACCAAACAATATATTCCTGGTCTTATCTAGCACCAACTGAAGATTTAAAATCCCTAGCAGGCTAGAGGAAAATACTGTTTGCTTACCAGAAAGAAGGGGTTCAGAGCTTTAAGGGATCACCTGTGAGCAAATGGAACATTATTAACAGTTTTATCAGGACATGCTTAAGTTGTTATGTCTAAACCAGTTCTGCACACAAGGCAGGCCTCTTCAAAGGTCTTAGAGTGCCGGAAAATTTCCCCATACAAAGCAGACTTGTCTGCATATGGGGAAATTTCCATAATATTCCATTGTGTATGCAAAATCTTAATAGTTTGCATACACAATGCAAAACTATTAAGGTTTTTCTAAGGAAAGAATCCGTAATGAGACATCATACCACCACCTTGAAAGCAGCTTTGCACTACAGATGCTTTTGAGGAACTTCTGATAACAGAAATCAGCATACCAGGAGTGCCGACTATTTTCAGGACCAAATCTTTCCCAAAAATTATTTTATGCACTAGTGTGCAACAAAACATTTTATGAACAAATTAATTACTACTACTACATAGTTTGAAATATTCTAATTAAATTTACCTACCACGTAATTTGGCACACAGCACTAAATTGATAAATTAAAAGAATGCTTTAGTATAAGCATGTACAGTACCTGTAAGTTAGGTTTAGGTACCTGACCCGTGAAAATCCAGGGCATCTGTATTGGAGCTATGTCAATGTCCTCACTACATGTTAAAACTGCAGAAGCTGCCCTGCAATGTTGGAGATTGATTTGGATAAATCTTAACATAATAATTTACCTTTCATGGGAGTACCACATGTGATGAAGCTCCTGTGAATCAGCAGCAACCTTTTACAAGTCTGCAGCTAGATCCTGAAGCCAGCAGATTCAGGGTCATGTGAACTTTTCACATAGCCTAGAATCTGCTAATAAAAATAAGGTTACTTGGTAGTCACTCTGATTCAAGTCCCAGAACAGACCTCAGACCCAGATCCCAAAGCACCCTCACCAAAACACTGTCAATCACTACATCCAGGTATTAGCCTGGTTGGTGATTACAGTGTCCTAGTGTCTTGGATGATCAAGCAATCCCCATTCTCTGGTTATCAGACCCAGAATCTGAGTCCCAAGCCTCATCTTTGTGTTTTNGATAGATAGATAGATAGATAGCACTTTATTGCACCAAAAAACATCTGCGCATCATTCCAGCTGGATCGATGTTGGTCCAGCAAAAATCCAGCTGGATTAAAAACACTGCTGGATTGCAATCCCTAATCACAACCAATTAGGAGAAAAAGGGCTCTTGAGTAGTAGAAAACTACCATGTATCTGGGGTCCAGTCTTAACTACTTACAATTAGAAAGTTTTGGTATCCAATAACAACAGGAAACTTATTCAAATATTCAAAATTATACCATGCATAAAAAGCTGTAATATGTAGTTTGAATATGCCACAGAAGCCTCCATTGCTATAGTATACCAAAACTTTATTATTATTGATAGTAGTTAAGACTAGACCTCCCTGACCTCTTCAGATAGGGAGTTTCAGTAGAATCATAAGGAAAATAGGCAGAGAAGACAAATCTTAATACCATTTATATCAACCATTACATGCATTGTTCAACAAGTAGATCTCTTGTTCAGAGATCTGAGTCGGGAAATACTTTAATCCATTTATTAACAAAAGTGTAAGTTTGTGGATCATTATTGAATGAGTGGTAATAGAGTATTATTACCTAACCTAACTTACGCATGCCTAAGTTAGGTAATAGGTACCTGTAAGTTAGGTTTAGGTACCTGACCCGTGAAAACCCAGGGCATCTGTATTGGAGCTATGTCAATGTCCTCACTACATGTTAAAACTGCAGAAGCTGCCCTGCAATGTTGGAGATTGATTTGGATAAATCTTAACATAATAATTTACCTTTCATGGGAGTACCACATGTGATGAAGCTCCTGTGAATCAGCAGCAACCTTTTACAAGTCTGCAGCTAGATCCTGAAGCCAGCAGATTCAGGGTCATGTGAACTTTTCACATAGCCTAGAATCTGCTAATAAAAATAAGGTTACTTGGTAGTCATTCTGATTCAAGTCCCAGAACAGACCTCAGACCCAGATCCCAAAGCACCCTCACCAAAACACTGTCAATCACTACATCCAGGTATTAGCCTGGTTGGTGATTACAGTGTCCTAGTGTCTTGGATGATCAAGCAATCCCCATTCTCTGGTTATCAGACCCAGAATCTGAGTCCCAAGCCTCATCCTTATGTTTTTGGCTTGGGATCACCATCAAAATCTTCACAGACTTGAGCAGAGTTAACTCTGACAAGGCAAAGGGACTTCAAAGCAATGGCTTCAACATGCTCTCTAAGCCATCTAACACTTCTCAATGTGGCATGATGCCATTTATTCGTGTGGTTTTTTTTTTTAGTTATGTTATTTTCATTTTTTATCACTTCCCTTTCCTACCCTATCAATTTCCCTTTTGTTCCCCAAGTTTGAGAACTTTCAACCCTNCTGTTGGATCCAGCACCAGGTGCTGGATCCAGCGCTGAGGATCCGCAAATACTCAATTAACTTTCTAAATAATGGCGCAAAAGTCTACGTTGTCGACCTTGCCGCTTTGCTACGTGCGCTATCGCTTGGTGGTGAGAGCGACATTGCCGTTCAGTGTGGCACATGCTACACC